AATTTAAATGCCTTTTTGTCGTTTAAAGGTTATTTTGTTGATCAGTGAGTGCACCTTTATCATTCTAGCATGGTTTACACAAAAACTTAGAAGACCTCCCGTGATACTGCTCCTTTAATATTATGCATGTAAGCGTAATTATCCAGTGAAAGAAAAACAAAAGCTACTCGTGGGTAGCAAACGTTGGGAAAAAATGTTTCCTTGTTTGTTAAGCTGTCCAATGTTTACCTATGCGTTATGTTCAATCGGCATTCACTCATTTTAAATCAACTTCTCTTCACCTAAGAAGTAAGCAAAATAGTCGTTATCGTCAAAAACTTTTTAGATGCGTCCTTGCACTAAATCGACGAATTAGATGGTTCTAAGTGCCTTTCCACATATTCCTCAAAAAATACGTCATGATATTCTATGTCATCATAAAAATAAATATAACAGTCATGAAAACGTATAGTTTCACTCAGGACAGAATTACTCAGCTGCCTAAAGGATCGCTGTGACAATTACACACAGCTGTGCCTGGACAACAAACTCTCACAACTGAAGATAACTCTTACTGTTATGCGATCACTGCTTAAACTATGGAGGAGATAAGAGTTTTCCTCCCCATTGTCGTTTTTATTCTGGTAAATGTTCAACTCATCACAGGACAGGACTGGCTAGATGTCTCAAAAGAAGAGCTCCTGGCGCTGAGAAACGAAGTGCTTTCTTTCGATAATTCCGTCTCCGATCTTGTGTTTTTAGTGGACACCTCTGGCAGTTTATCGTCTAGCGACTACGATGAAGAAATAACATTCGTCACCAACTTGCTAAATGAGATCAGCGTGGACATGCAAGCAACCCGTGTCGAGGTGATACCGTTTGGAAGCACGGCGAGCCAATTCATCACTCAAATTTCCAACCCCGATACTTCCAAGAACAAGTGTACATTTAACGAACAATTCAAGACGATGTCCCAAAGTATCAACGGTTGGGCCACGAACATGAGGGACGCTTTTCAATTGGCCTGGGAGGTTTGCCTGAATAACGGATTGAAAAGAACGCCGCTGACTACGATTAAAACTGTCGTTATCCTTCTCACTGATGGCAAATGGAACACACCTTACGGCGACTCGAGCCCCGTTTCACGAGCACAAAACCTCATAGCGGGTCATGTGGAGATTTTTGCCATAGGTGTTGGTAACATTGACTACGCAAATCTTGAATCTCTTGTTGATGATCCAGACAAGCACGCATTTCTTTTGCAAGACTTCGACGAGTTTGCTGAGCTTGCAACCTATCTCAGAGGAGGTATGTGACTAAATTTTTCTTTAATGAACTTTTTCCGTTTTTTAATTACAAAGAAAACTGATAATCGAAACTGTTTTTCTTTTGCAAGAGCACCCAATGGAATCAGAAACCGTCTCTAGTTTCATTGTGTATTACTTGATATTTCTGAAGAGTTCAGTCGCTTTTCTTTTCTCTTCAGTTTCGGTTTCCTGTTTTAGTCGTTAAAGTACAAAAAGAACATTTCTTCACGGGACAATTGTGGTCTGGTTAGTTAATCCATAAAACACACGAAAACGGTAACACAATCTTCAGAAGTTGTTGATTTCAGAAGGAAAAAATGATTAGATTCAAATATATTTATGTTTGAGCGTACGTACGTTGCGTACATGTTAGTTGTTTTCGTGGAGGAGGAGTCAGTGATGTAATTTCCAAGGTGTGTTTAGCTTTATGCTTAAAGTGTTTTGTCGAAAGGCATACCGTAAGGCCCAATCACTGTTCCATTTTCATTTTTTCAAAGGAGTGTTCATGCTCAATACTTCGCAACATTTAAGAATAAAACGTTTCTAACTGAAAGTGATTGTCCTTTACATTTTACTTGTATATTAGTGCGCACCAACTCCACGGAATTAAAGATAGTTCATTACGTAATGATCGCAAGGGAAACAGATTGTTTTGCTTTTTAACCGCGCGGCCATGAGCCGAGCGCGGTTCATGTTCTACCCGTTATTTTTTAACCGCGCGGCCATGGGCCGAGCGCGGTTCATGGTTTACCCGTGGTTTATTTTTTTTGTTTTTTAGATTTGTCGGCGACCAGACCCAAGCTTCCACTCGGCCAAATTTTGAGTCACGCAACCTGATATGTTTACTCGCCAAAAGCTGTTGAAACATTAATAAATCTCATNATTTTCGGTTTCCTGTTTTAGTCGTTAAAGTACAAAAAGAACATTTCTTCACGGGACAATTGTGGTCTGGTTAGTTAATCCATAAAACACACGAAAACGGTAACACAATCTTCAGAAGTTTTTGATTTGAGTAGGAAAAAATGATTAGATTCAAATATATTTATGTTTGTGCGTACGTGCGTTGCGTGCATGTTAGTTGTTTTCGTGGAGGAGGAGTCAGTGATGTAATTTCCAAGGTGTGTTTAGCTTCATGCTAAAAGTGTTTTGTCGAAAGGCATACCGTAAGGCCCAATCACTGTTCCATTTTCATTTTTTCAAAGGAGTGTTCATGCTCAATACTTCACAGTATTTAAGAATAAAATGTTTCTAACTGAGAGTGATAGTCATTTACATTCTACTTGTATATTAGTCCGCACCAACTCCACAGAATTAAAGATAGTTCATTACGTAATGATCGCTAGGGAAACAGATTGTTTTGCTTTTTTCCGAGACGAGATCGAGGGATAAATGTTGCACTTTCTTTTTTTTAAAAAGAGTGCTAAGAACAGTATAAAATTATTTTAAACAAAGGAATAACAAGAGGCAGTTAAGAGCAGGCCATCCTAGAGAAAAAAAGTGAGTGGCAATGGCAATTTACGTTTCTCCTGTTAATATCTTCGGGGAAACAAGCATGCATTTAACGGCATTTAGCCGGTTGCAAAGGAACTTCCTAACGGTTAAAAAATCACATAGTCGAGTAAAATATAGTTTAGACCAAGTGAACGGATTTGTTTTTCGCAAGCCGTGAACGGTATAGCTGGGCGGACACAGGGCAAGTTGACAGCATGTGCCTTCGTTAAATTATTAGTGAAAAAGCAACGTCATCAAAGAATTTTCTCTTGGCACGTGATCTCTGCATGACAGCTGACGACCTTTGAAAGTTAGAACCAGACCACTCGAGCTCGCGGAACAGTTTTGTTGCCATGAAATTGCTGATGACTTTCATTACTTCTAGGGGTTTTAAATCTCAAAATTTTACTGATTTAAATCTCACTCACAAAATGTAACAGACTTAATTTGTGGCCTCCAGGGCCAACTCTCGAGATTTGTCAGCACGACTGATAAAACACAAATCGCTGAGTTCAGCAACATAAAAAGGTTGCACCTCATTAAGCCACAAAAGATCGATCAAAGACAGCCTACCCCATTTTCGATACCATCTCAAATAGAAATCAAGATAAACCTGGCAAAAGTTCAAGACAGGTAGTGTAGAATAAAAGTAACACGTCACAGGTATAAGCAAGTCTTTTTCGTTCTTTTTAAGATCCTTATGAGGAGGTGTGGCAAATAGAATCTGTGACCGCTGATAAATGTAACAACAACTGTGACGCCCTCGCCACTTGTGCCTGTGGATTGGTGTACGGGGACTACAAGTGCGCATGTCCGAAGGGATATGCAGGGTCTGGATATGTGGGTGAATGTAACGGTGAGAAAGAACTTACTTTGCTTACTTTCTTGGATAAAACATATTGTTGCAAAACATGTTTCAATTGTAGATTAACGTGGAAGGTACCCAAGTGACAGAGATCTTTGATTTAAGACCTTACGGAAACGCCAGAGCAAATTTAACTGCCTATTAATTTATGAGATGCTTTTTTATAAAAGTGCTAAAGTCAACTCTGACCAAGCAGTCTGACTCTATCCGCGCAAAGTTGTTTTCATAGCGAAGAGTATTTTATATTTCACAATTATTATATCTTTTTGACATAGTCCTATAGACTAATTTTACCTTTTATCACTTACGTTTTGTAACGTTCAGAGTATATTTACATATTTTTACCACTTTTCAAATTCCCATTTCTTAATTTTACTCATATACGCAAGAACTTTAATCACTTTATTTTTTTAAACTTGAAAATAATCTCAGCGAGATCGAAACGTCGTTTTTTATCTCTAGTTTTTATCCTAAGAGTTAATTGTTTAATAACACAATTGTTAATATTTCAGTAGGTCGATGTATGCGCTTGTCGATGCGCTTGTCAATTTTCTTGCATGCAAATCTTTTAGAATTTCTAGCTAGATGCCCAGTTCTCACTGTTATCATGCTAACAGCGACGCCGCCTCGAGCATTCAAGATAGATTTGATAATGATGTATTTAATAACATGTGAACAAAATACTTTTGAATCTCTCAGTAATATTAGCTAATTTTAAATTTGTTTGCTTTTGTTTCGTAGAATGTCCGGAATCAACTTACAAGGATTTCCTTGGCTATGCAGACGAGTGTACAGCTTGCCCTGATAACTCTGGTCACACGAATAAAGGCAGCTCATCTATCTCTGCCTGCAACTGTTTCACAGGATGGAGTGGATCACCAGAGAATGGACAAGAATGCACAAGTAAGTTAAGACATGATAAGAGTCGAGCTGCCATAGTTAGGCTAAAGATATGCAGATGCCATCGAAGCTGGTCTACTCCACTTTGTACCATCGGGGTCATAGGGCGCGCGACCTCTACCGTGACTTTCCATCTCTGACGGTCTTGAGCCACTCTTTTGGCCTCGCACCAACTGTTGACCTCCATCAGGACCGGGTTGTTCGAAAGTCGGTTAACGCTGACCCAGGATTATAAGTTAACCGAAGTATTAATTTCTCTTGCATAAAATTGTTTTTTACTGCTTACGTTTTGTGTAGTCTGAGCTTAGTCTAGCTCAAAACTGAAGGACAAACAGTATAAACAGAAAACCTCACCTAAAAGTTACAAAACTCGCATCAAAATTCTCGCTAATCCTGGGTTAGCTTAAGGTAATTCCCCTGAAATAAAACTGCCAATAGATTTTTGTTCAAACTTTGTCCACTGAATAT